CGGACCCTCAACAACCAGCTGCCCAGTGGGTCAAGATCTTTCATCCGGGACCATGGACGCCTCAAGAAGAACATGATGCTCCACCTCCTCCGCATACTTTTAGAGAATGGCGGGAGTTCTATGCTCCCAACCAGGACTCAGTCGAAGGGCAAGTCCAAGTCACTACGTGGTACAAGCGAGACTGGGCCACAGAGGGCTATCGGAGAATCGCTGCTCCTCACGCTGGTCATGAATTTGATTCCATGTATCCCTCCGATCACCATAGCGTGGCCACGCAGTCTGCGGCATTGAGTATGTCGCCGGAGCTGTTAGACGCGATTCTCAGGTCCTCGGATGCGGCTGATTTCTCCACTGAAGAACTGACTCGTCTCCAGGAGGGGATTGCTCAACAACTGACGGCCCGCGCACGGCTGACCTCCCATCCTCATCAACCAGTACGTGCATCGCGTGGAAACACACCATCGGAGACGATTGGGGTCTCCGACCCCTACAGGCCCGTGAATCCGTCCGACAGCGGCCAAGACAAGATGAGGCCCGTCTTCGAGCTGACTGAAGACTAGACTTGCATGAGCAGCGCAGCGTACAAAATAAGGGTGGCCTCTACACTTGCATGATCTTGCTTTGCTGTTGTTTGAACATGGTTGTGCATGGTGCTTGTTCATCTACTAGCTGGATCGGAGCCCGCGACAATCCTTGCCTCTTGCCTCGACATGGACATCGATGATTCGAAGCAGCATCCATGGCTCGAATATTCGGTCTGGCATGATCAGGAGTGGGTGCGGATATACACTCCGGGACAACCTCAACGATGGCACCGTGGTGACGCCGTACCTGATCTACCTGAAAATTCTTTTCGTGAATGGCAGCGGGTGACGGATCCCGAAGCGCCAGTCCAGGCATGGGACATCCGTGACTGGCAACACCAAGGGTACCAGCGCATTCTGTCTCGGATTGAGTCCTTCGCAACTCACTATTCACATGATCAGACTCTTGGTCAAGGTCGAAACTCCGATGCCGTTCAAGTTGAGGAGACCTTCACCTATGCCACTCCGTTTTCTCATGGTGATCGCCCGGCTGCTTCGCAGATCGCTTCAGTCCTCTATGGCGACACTCGCAATGCTCAACGTTGTGATCTTTCGTTCCCGTCTTCTGAGCGGTTTAGGGCAGTGTCTCGCTCCCCTCGCCGTGGAGGATATTTTGGTCAACGATAGACATTTGAGTTTGTGCATGTGATCTTCCTGCAGGAGAAAAGAGAAACCTCGCCCCTCGTAGAGGGGCGTGTGTGTGCGGAGTGGCAGAAAACCCTGCCACCACAACCGTTTTCTGTTGCAGCAGGGGGATCAGGCTTCCAGTGACTGACCTGATCCAACGAAGCTAGGTCACTGGAAGGGAAGTAGCTGAGGACGCTCAGCTACGTACCTGCTTCCCAACAAGGTCCCCTCTTTGCCCGCGGAAATCAAGCAGAAACTCATCGTACTCGAGACTCATCAGTTGTACTCGAGACTCATCAGTTGTACTCGAAAGATTAGCACTCTCCATCTGGAGTTAAGTGTCTGTGTGTCTGTGTGTGTGTGTGTGTCTGTGTGTGTGTGTGTGTGTGTGTGTGTGTGTCTGTGTGTCTGTGTGTCTGTGTGTCTGTGTGTCTGTGTGTCTGTGTGTCTGTGTGTCTGTGTGTCTGTGTGTCTGTGTGTCTGTGTGTCTGTGTGTCTGTGTGTCTGTGTGTCTGTGTGTCGTGTGTCTGTGTGTCTGTGTGTCTGTGTGTCTGTGTGTCTGTGTGTCTGTGTGTCTGTGTGTCTGTGTGTCTGTGTGTCTGTGTGTCTGTGTGTCTGTGTGTCTGTGTGTCTGTGTGTCTGTGTGTCTGTGTGTCTGTGTGTCTGTGTGTCTGTGTGTCTGTGTGTCTGTGTGTCTGTGTGTCTGTGTGTCTGTGTGTCTGTGTGTCTGTGTGTCTGTGTGTCTGTGTGTCTGTGTGTCTGTGTGTCTGTGTGTCTGTGTGTCTGTGTGTCTGTGTGTCTGTGTGTCTGTGTGTCTGTGTGTCTGTGTGTCTGTGTGTGTGTGTCTGTGTGTCTGTGTGTCTGTGTGTCTGTGTGTCTGTGTGTCTGTGTGTCTGTGTGTCTGTGTGTCTGTGTGTCTGTGTGTCTGTGTGTCTGTGTGTCTGTGTGTCTGTGTGTCTGTGTGTCTGTGTGTCTGTGTGTCTGTGTGTCTGTGTGTCTGTGTGTCTGTGTGTCTGTGTGTCTGTGTGTCTGTGTTTCTGTGTCTGTGTGTCTGTGTGTCTGTGTGTCTGTGTGTCTGTGTGTCTGTGTGTCTGTGTGTCTGTGTGTCTGTGTGTCTGTGTGTCTGTGTGTCTGTGTGTCTGTGTGTCTGTGTGTCTGTGTGTCTGTGTGTCTGTGTCTGTGTGTCTGTGTGTCTGTGTGTCTGTGTGTCTGTGTGTCTGTGTGTCTGTGTGTCTGTGTGTCTGTGTGTCTGTGTGTCTGTGTGTCTGTGTGTCTGTGTGTCTGTGTGTCTGTGTGTCTGTGTGTCTGTGTGTCTGTGTGTCTGTGTGTCTGTGTGTCTGTGTGTCTGTGTGTCTGTGTGTGTGTCTGTGTGTCTGTGTGTCTGTGTGTCTGTGTGTCTGTGTGTCTGTGTGTCTGTGTGTCTGTGTGTCTGTGTGTCTGTGTGTCTGTGTGTCTGTGTGTCTGTGTGTCTGTGTGTCTGTGTGTCTGTGTGTCTGTGTGTCTGTGTGTCTGTGTGTCTGTGTGTCTGTGTGTCTGTGTGTCTGTGTGTCTGTGTGTCTGTGTGTGTTGTCTGTGTGTCTGTGTGTCTGTGTGTCTGTGTGTCTGTGTGTCTGTGTGTCTGTGTGTCTGTGTGTCTGTGTGTCTGTGTGTCTGTGTGTCTGTGTGTCTGTGTGTCTGTGTGTCTGTGTGTCTGTGTGTCTGTGTGTCTGTGTCTGTGTGTCTGTGTGTCTGTGGTCTGTGTGTCTGTGTGTCTGTGTGTCTGTGTGTCTGTGTGTCTGTGTGTCTGTGTGTCTGTGTGTCTGTGTGTCTGTGTGTCTGTGTGTCTGTGTGTCTGTGTGTCTGTGTGTCTGTGTGTCTGTGTGTCTGTGTGTCTGTGTGTCTGTGTGTGGGTGTGTCTGTGTGTCTGTGTGTCTGTGTGTCTGTGTGTCTGTGTGTCTGTGTGTCTGTGTGTCTGTGTGTCTGTGTGTCTGTGTGTCTGTGTGTCTGTGTGTGTTCGTGTCTGTGTGTGTGTGTTTGTGTGTGTGTGTG